AATCCCATGCACGAGGACAGGCTGGGGGTGACTGGCTGGCCAGCAGCTCTGCAGAAAAGGACCTGGCAGAGACAGGGGACTTTAAACCTGAAGATAAGTCAACAGTGTGCCCTTGTTGCAAAGAAGGCGAACGGCATCCTGGGCTGCATTGTGCATCTGTTGCCAACAGATCGAGGGCAGGGATCCTTCCCCTCTATTCAGCACTGGGGAGGCCACATCTGGAGTCTTGTGTCCAGTTGTTGGCCTCCCACTACAGAAAGGATGTGGATGCATTGGAGAGAGTCCAGTGGAGGGCAATGAAAATGGTTGGGGGGCTGGGGCACATGACTTGTGAGGAGAGGATGAGGGAACTGGGCTGCAGAAGAGAAGACCAAGGCAGGATTGAATAGCAGCCTTCAAGTCACTGCAGGAGGTTGCAAAGAGGATGGAGCTGGGCTGTTCTCAGTGGGGGCAGATGGCAGGACAAGGAGCAATGGGCTCAAACTGCAGCAAGGGAGGTTTAAGTTGGATATTATGAAAAATTTTCTCACCAGGAGGGCAGTAAAGCACTGAACAGGCTCCCCAGAGAGGTGGTGGACTCTCCATCCTTGGAGGTTTTTAAGACCCAGGTAGACAAAGCCCTGGCTGGGATGATGCAGTTGGGGCTCGTCCTGCTTGGAGCAGGGGGTTGGACTAGATGTGACCTCCTGAGCTCCCATCCACCTGAATTTTCTATGATTCTATAAAAGCAAAGTATTTTCATTCCTTCAGTTCCCTGTACTGCATAATAGTACTGAATATCCCAGCTGATGCTGCAGGTTCCTCTAATACCTAGGGTTCGAGGCATTCAGCTACAGCAGGGAATGGGTCCAGATCAATAGAAAGGTCCAGGATCATGAAATCATCTCCTTGTCCCCATACTTACACAGAAGTATGTGGACTTTATTCCCTTAAAGTGTCCCATAAGATATAAGTCATGAAATTCAAAGCTCCTTCAGCCCTCTATCGTCCTTCAACACACCCAATCCTATGTGAAAATGCATGCAGCTCTCAACCATGAAAAATAATAATAATGCTCCCCTCCCATGCCAAGTTTCCAGCTGTTTCCACATGTGCATCCCATACTTACCTCCTCTGGTGAGCCTGTGCCAGGACTCAGATTCAATAAAATGCCACACTAATCCACAGTCCTTTTTCATTAAATGACCAATTAAAGCTGGAGGAAAAGGACTCTTACCATTATTATTTCAGTTGGGAACACAGTCCCTGTAGTGCTGTGTGTGGGGGTTTTTTTGGTTAATGCTTACATTATATACTGTTTTGTTATCTCTGCAATGTCACGCTGCGGCAGCTTTTCATGGCCGCGCTCCTCTCTCAAACCATAATTGTTTTTTAATTTTTTTAAGTACTTAGCACTTGCATGTTATTTGTCTTACGGCAGCATCCAGAGGCCCCCAAGAGATCAGGTGCCATTGCCATTTCAAACCTCCACCTATAAGTTTAAGGCACAAAAACACTTAAACCCTTAAAAAAAAAATAAAAAATAAGCCCCTGGTAAAAGCAGGGGAGAGGAGGGAGCAGCCTGATTTCACATTGAATTTTTAAGTTTGCAGTGATCACGTGCAAATGGAGGCGGTTGAATGGGTGGAAAGGGGGCCCCCACATTGCATGCTAGATCCCCAATTAAGTCATTTTTTCCATGTTGCTTTCAATCAGCTGACACTGGTTTTTAAGCCCATCTTATGAGTCAAGCTGTGTCTTGTGATGTTTTTTGAGTATTCAGAGCAGACAGAAGCAGAGTCCCCTCTCGTCCGGCTGAAACTTTCTGGTCCCGCGGTGTTCAACGGTCATTTGTGTCGTGGTCCCGCCAGAGCCGGAAGACGCGTCCCCTCTCTGCCTTGCCCAGAGCACCTTGACTCGACCCACCGCCACCTTCGCCCCGGATAGCTTTCCAGAGTAATGAGTTAAACAGTGCGGTCGTTAGTACCTCTGCATTTTCCAGCCATCAGCAGTGCATGTGTCCAAGCCTTTCGTGTTGGGAAGGGTGCATTCAGTGGAAACTTCTCACTTGCAGGCTTTTCTGGGGCCAGACATGTTATAAATTTCAAAAGAAAAAAAACCCTCTTTGCAAACTCCTTCTCTGGCGGGCGTGGGAATATTAGTTAGAGCCTCCAGAGCCAACTGGCCCGGGGATCTCCTTCCACCGTTGCAAACGCTTGTGATTTTGTAATGAATGGCACGACGTGCGGTGTCTTTCGGAAAGCCCCGGCACCTGGAGTCAGGGGATTCCAGGAGAATTTCGACTTCCTTTCACAAAAATCTCCCAGATTTTTTCCTCGGAGCAACCAAGGGGCAAAATCTGGGAGTCGCGCTGCACAGACCTCTGGAACCCAAAGTATTTCACGCCTCTTCTGCATCCAGCCATTGCAGCCACCTCGGGGTGGTGATCTGGACAGGCTAATTAATCCTGCTGCTGGACTGGAAGCGGCATAGGCGGTGCAGGCAGACTCATTCGGTGTCCTGGGCACAGTGGTGCATGAGTATGGCTCCCTGAGTATGGCCTGTGGCTACCGCCCAGCTTAGGATGGTAGATCTGCATTTCCGCTGCAACCTGTAACCCAACTGGGGATGGGACTTTCTGGAGGGACCCTTCAGAAAAGGTTCAGGATGGAGCCCGTGCTAATATTTGGTGGCAGCTAGTCCATTTAATGGCTGCTAATTAGAAGGGGGGACTCCTTATCAGTGCACAGTCCAATGCATCTGCATCCTTTGCCCTTAAAATTCAGACCCCTAAAGCCTCCAAGACCTGGAGGCCAGTTGAGAGAATAGAGCGTTTGTTCATTTTTGAACAACCCTTGTGATTTTTAAGCCGATCTCTTGACATTTGAGGGCCTCGCCTCAGCACGTTGGATCACCTTACCTTCAACTAAGGATGCAATTACAGAGGTGTGCAAGACCTGTGCATGCTGGTGGGAGGATGGAAGGGGTTGGGGTTGCCAGGAGAATGAAGAGGAGCAAAAAATTGCAAAGGGTACAAGAGGCAGAGTGGGAAATGCCAGGCGTTGGTGCGCTGTATAGAGCAGGCGAGCGGGGATGAATCAAGCAGGGGAAGAAGATGCCTGGGCTAAGGAGGGAGAGAAAGGTGGGCAGAGAAGGGGCAGCACTATGGGGAAGACGGGCAGAAGGGATGTCCCCCCACCTTGAGAAAGCAAGAGGCCGACGGCGAGGGCGCAGCTTAGCTTTCGGAAAGCAAAATATATTTTTGCTAAACTCTCACCGTTTTTAAGACTGGGAAGGCCGCAGCCCCGAACCTCGGATGCTCGAGCTAGGCAGCGGGGCCCGCGAGCAGCTCGGTGAGTGAAGGCAAGGAGGGGCGCGCTGATTTTTTGCAAACGCCGTTGGCATAAAACACTGGTTTTCCTCTGACTCGTGATGAGCATGGGGCCAGCCCCGAGAGGAGCTGCTGCCACGTGAAGGGCCGTCCATCCGTGTTTGGTGTTTTCCATCCACTCGTTTCTCTCCCCGTTGCCTGTAGCAACGGAAATAACACACGTTGCCGTTATAAAAGATTTGCAGAGTAACCTTGCATTTTATTGATATTCTGTATTAGTCATAGCCTCGCAGGTACAGCTGCTGGGTTTAGCTTTCCTACAGTGTCCCCTACTGCTTGCTCAAGAAATCCATTTCAATATATGTATATAAAAGCCTTTATGGGCTCATAAAGCGTAGAAAACGATTGGGAAGTGAAAGCCTCTTAGGGGGAGATTTGCTGGATAGCCGGCTCCGAAATGTGGAGACGGCATCAGTTCATAAAAGGAGGTAACTAGCTCCAGCTTGGCGTGGGTGCAGCTCAATGAAACACCTGGAGCCAAGTTCAGTGGTCCCTTAAATGAGGGAGTAAATGGTACCTTGGATGGACATCGGTCAATAAATGGATGTCGTGGGATATAGCAGAAGCATATAAACCAACAACCATTGCAAAAAAGGTGATGCTTCTGTTTGCTCTTTCACATCATATAAGAACAAGGGAGCTACTAATGACATCAAAAAGCAAGGATTTCTTAAGGCGATCTCTTTTGTTGAACCGACTGCATAGCTGGGATAGAGTTAGGCAAGCTTTTGAATGCAAAGCATTCTTCATCGGGTCTTAAGAAATCCCTAAGGAAACCCTTGCCCCTCACATAATTTCTGGACCATGACAGCTAGGACATCAGTCTTACGCTACCTTCAAAAAGCAGCGCGTTTGAAAATGATAAACGGCCTCTTCTTACATTTAAGAGAATGTTAATCTGTGCAAATCACTGCTGGAAAATGACGGAGATCAAGGGCAGAGGCTTGGGGAGTTAGATGAATAGTAGGAACGGCTCCAGGTCTGTTAGGCAGGATGTGAAGCATAAAAGCGATTCAGGATTCACAGCATAAGGCAAAACCTTAGTGATGGGTCCTGGGTAGGTTATTGCATAAATTGCTGCTTATAGGGATTCTCCCGGCGTCTTCTGCAACGCTGGGTCCTGGAGGTCCCGTGGGTGCAAATGTGGGGTAGGGGGTAAGCCCGTTGTTAGAGCCATGCACAAGTTCAAGGAGACCAGGCTCCATTATGCATTTGAATACATTCTCCTTCTGCAGCCACCATGGCATTGAAATCCTTTGAGAAGACTGCGGTTCAAGCAGGTGCTCGCGGTAGTCAGCAAGGTCCCGTGATCATCACGTTAGTGCAGTGCCAGCATTCGCGAGGGATGAGTCCCAGGTGAGAGCAATCGAGTGCTGTACTTTTAGGTTTGGCCCAGATGAAAGGATCCCGTTTTGGACTAACCAGGGATCCCGGTTGCAGCGGCCTGTGCAGCAATACTGGAGATCCTCCCAGCAAGGCCAGACTTTGCTTGTTGGTTGAATGCACCGCAGTGTTTGGCCAGGAGCTGGCAGGGACCACGTGAGAGCCTTTGATTTTCAGTTCCTATCCGGCGGCGTCTAATGCTTTTGCTTTGTTTCTCTTTCCTCCCCACACCCCGCTCCTCCGTCAGACCTACGAGCAGAACGAATGGATAATCCATTTGGCTGGAAAGCTGCTGGCCAACGAAGAGGAGGCGTTGTCTCTGATGGCGTTCAACCCGTTTGAAGGCAAAGCACCTCCCCGGTAAGACCGGTTCACTAACGGTGACCTTGAGGCGCGACACGCTGCTTTATGGGTTCTCAGTATACGCGTCTATTCTTCAATGTGCATTTTCATGTCGCGGCACGGCTCTTTTAAAATTGAAGAGATGATCAGAGCTGACACACAGACCATAATCTTTTCTAAGTACCTTTACCTTCCTAACATTTTTTTTGGATGTGAGTTATGCCAACGTCAAGAAAATCCCCAGGCAGGTCCGTAGGGGATCCATGTTGCTTCCTTTGGACAGAAATCCTGACCGTTCATACGTTTTCCTGCTTTTTGCCCTGATCAAGTAAGAAAGCCATTTTTAGGAGCTACTGAAGTAATACTCTAGAGGGATTCGGGATTTATTTTTCCCTACCAAAAAGACCTTGGTGTTGTCGACATGTTTAGCGATTGTCATCAACCCCCTAAAAACAGCAACTAAAACCTGAAACGTTTCTGTTCAGACCCAGAAATTACTTACAAAAGGGACTTTTTTTTTCCCCCCACAAAAATATCTGTTTTGTCGCCAAAGCCATTTTGAACCAGGGGGCCAAGACCCTTCTGAGTCGCTTTCCCGCTGGCTCCAGTCCTAGTACTACGGCCTTGAGGATCTTAAGGTGTATCGTCCGAGATTGTTTGAGAGAGACGCTCCTCAACCTGTTGCAATTATCCATGCTACACAAACACAAAAAAGCCGTGAACTTGGCTTTTGGTGAATATTTGCGCCAACCCTTTATTACCATGCAGCCTCTTGTCTTATTGCAGTCATGCAGACACCTTGCTTTGCCGATCTCGCTTCCCCGCAGGGAGCTCCGATATTATATCGAGCGGCAGGTGCGATAGAGAACCCGACTGCCGATCGAACACGTTGTATTTCACCAAACCATCCGTATAGCAGAGCCAGACCGCGGTTCACGTTAGGTTCGGACTTGTTCTCCTCCAGCCGATGCAGCCAAGACTTTACCAGGAAAAGAGTCGGGCATTGCTAATGCACATTTATTCTCATTTCACCTCCCCTTCCACTTAGCAGCATGAAGCAAGCAGAGGCAGTGGACTGCTTTGGGGCCAGGCCCCTACAAAACGTATCGCGTGGAGTATTGCCCAGAGCCGGGAGACTCGCAAACGTAACGGAGATCCCATAAACTCCAGTTTATTGTTCAGGCCGTGTTATTGGGCAATATTGCAGTTTGTTCACTTACACAGGGAGCAGATCTGTTACGTCAGAGTAATTACTCCTTGGATGGGATCCAGGAAGGTGCTTGGGGAAACTCCCATTCATTATTCCTGCAAAGGTCACTCTGGGAAATAGCAGCACGCCCCTTGCCGCCGAAGGATACCACTTTAATAATATTTGCAGAGGGCGTCTCGGCACTGATAGCCCTGCTTGCCTTTGCTGTACAAATATGGTATGTACAAATGCTTGTCCCCAGGCAGTACAAAAAGGAGCGTGGCGCAGAAGGGTGCCGTTTCATAGCCGCGGGTTTGTTGCGTGCTTTCACGCTGGTCGGATACGTGCTCCCCAGCGATGCCTGGCCGCACCAACGACTCCGTGGGATGCTGGTTACCAGCCCTGGCAGCATCCGTGGCAAAGAGCCAAGAACTCCTTTAGCCTGAAATTTGCTCTGGTGCAAATTTGCTCCGATACACCACTTGTATCCTCTGCTGGAGCTGCTCTCCAGGTGTCCAACCCAAGGTGCCCCTTCATAGCAAGGGACATTTGGTTTATGTGCAGGTGCCCAGGGTGGGTTGGAGTATCAGCTTCCAGCGAGCTGTGTAACATCCCGGGCATTATCCCTGCGTATGCAATCTCAGGAAATTTTCCGTGTAGCCTGTATACTTGGGCTGGAAGGATGTTGAGTAGAGCTCACTTCTAGTGTTTTCCAGTGTTGCTGATTTTTTTTAATTTTTATTTTTTACAACCAGTCCTGAGGGCTGGCCGGCCTGGGGGCTTGTTAGCAGAATTTGGAGCCGTTAGACGCCAAGTCACCAGCCCAGACCAGGTGCCCTTGGAGGTAGCAACCCAGAGTTGTTCCTGTCTGCTGGCTGCGGGCAATAAACAGCTCTTGCAGTTGATTAAAAGGCAAAAGTGTTTGGTAATCAGAAAAGCTGTTTATAGCTAGGCTCCCCCCAATGCCATAAACATTGTTCCTATTCTTCTGTGAGGTTTCGGTAATGGCCATACGCAAACCCCTAATACCTCAAGGAAATAGATATCATTTCTTGTCTGGTGAGGATTCATCAGAGATGGGCTGCATCTTTCCAGGGTCATCGTGTTCAAAGTAACCAAGCACAGGGTGAGTTTAAACAAATGAAAATAATATTGCAGGATGGATTGAGCTGATGTTGCATTTTTTCCCCCAGCCTGGGATTGATTATTTATAGGGTTTTTCACCAGGTGAGAAATGATCCTTTCATGCGTCTTCTAAGAATAAGTCTTTAGCATCTTTTAGGATCTGCAAGTTCCCTTTAGGATCAGCAATGTGAATGTGGATGGGTGTCATGAAATCCCGGTGGCTTTGATTACATCTGTTGCAAAGCTAACCCCCGTCTATCTTGCTGACCCTGGTCTTGGTTCATCGCTGAGATCCTCTAGTTTCAGACCAACGTCGTTTCTGTTTTCACTATTTCCTATTATAAACTAGCTGCTTAAAAAGTCTGGGCCCACATGATTTGGTGTGTTTGCTCTTGAGGTGTCCAGTGCGGTTTTGGACAATGTAAAATAATAAGAAGAAATATTTTTTCAAATTCTTGCTTTTGGTCCAAATCGAAGCCCAAACCTACAGTCTGCATGGGGTTCTCAGTGTGCAGTTCAAACTTTTCTTTTTAATGGGCCAGTTCAAAACATGCTGAGCATTGGCAGAGGTCGGTTTTGCATCGGGATTCCTGAGTTTCGGCGTACGTGGATCCTGGGGTTTGACCCCTCTCTTGTGGAATCGGCCCAGGATAGGATTGAGGATCAGCCCTTCATCCTTGCTTTGGCTGTTGCTTGTTTAGCCCTTGCATTTCACCCGCAGCGGTTGCAGCAATTGGGTCCGTTTCCCTTTAGGCTCCTTATGCCGCAGCACGGTTATGTTGAATTTGCACTTCTACTACTTGCTGGTGGCATATTGTTAGAGGAACTCTTTTGATCCAAGGTAAAACTTTTTACATGGGTGTTTTTCCCCCCGACTTGCTAATTTTCGAAGGAACCAGTTCTTTGTTTGCATTTCAACGTTCAGCTGCAGCAATCCACATCCTGTGGACCCAGACAGGCTGTGGCTGGACCGCTGTGCCCACGCTGAGCCTTGGTGGAAATCGGTCGTGCTGTTGGAGCTACTTCTCTAGATTAGACTTCAGGACTACATCCACAGGAACCTGAGCAGGAACCCGCCCAGAAATGGATGATTCTGCTTTCATCATTCACACTGAACTGGAGGGGAAGAGAACGGCAATAATGAATATAAACGGCATGAGCACCCATGCTTGGAAAAGCAGATTTCTTGGAAGTGTCCATCTGGATGCCAAAAACACTAAGACACTAAAAATTACTGCCCACTTTTAAAATTATTAGTGATTTTTCGGGGAGGGGGATGGATAGAGCATGCAGAAACTAAAATCTGAGTCTTGGCAGCAATACTTGAGAGAGAGCGAGCTGCTCCCCATGTTGTACAGTGAGGTTTCTGGAGTCATTTCAATTGTATAGACTCGGGTGGGAGGGTTGTACAGACCCCCTGAGTCTATAAGACTGAAATGGCTCCAGAAACCTCACTGTACAATATGGGGAGCGACTTGCCCACAAACTCCAATATTCATCTGTCTGCTGCAGATCTCTAACACGCTTTTCCCTCCCCACCGTCCAGCTAATTATTCTGCCCACCGAGTTTCTGCTCCACTTCGGTAGCTGGGTGGAAAAAGTCTAATTTTCCTACTATTTTCCCCCCCGCATCCTAAAGGGAATTTTGAGACTTAATTATTTTCATTCCCTGCTAGACTAAATAATTAAGGGAAGGGACTGTTTTCCATAAGAACATCAAGTTCCACACTCCACGGAGTTTATTCGGCTAATGGAAACTCTACACCTCAAATAGCCAAGGGACTTTCAAAATGAGTTAATGCCTTCGAAATGAAATTTCTGAGACCAAAGTTTGCAGGTTTCTTTACAACTCTAAAAATTATAGTATTTTTTTCAAGTGTGATAAACTTAAAATGAAAAACAGGTGACTGATTAAAAATGAGCGCATTGTTGAGTGCGCAGCCTAATTGAGTGTGAAACTTGACTTCGAGCACAGTGCTGTTTATGCAATGTAGATGTACAAACTATTATTTCTGCAGTGGATCGCTCCTAAAACATTAGCCATCATAAATCTAAATGGTAGGATTTCGTCTAAGAAAGTAATAAGTGTTTTAACACGCAAAAAAAAAAAATTAAAAAAAAAATCAAATAGGACTGCTTACAGGAGGGGGGGCATGGAAAAAACATTTCATTTCTCACTTTAAATGTTTGGTGTCTCTGATATTAAAACAACATCCTTTCCTTTTGCATTGTTGGCATTGTTGGGCCCCCTTTTTTTTGTTGCAAGCCTGCAAATAACCAGCTCACTCGCCGCGTTTCATCCGGTCGTTAGCATCGTTTGGTTAAGACGCTCCAGTTCAGCTTTAAAGAGCCTGGACCTTGAAAATCCAGTGTTATTCACATTGGCTATATCTTTCGGTCTGTTTTTATTTGCTCAGAAGAACATAAGTGGCTAGTATTATATAGTGTTCATATTCTGGTGATAGTCCTATTTCTATAGTGTTCCTGTTGTATTTAATCTCCTGGTTTTTCAGGACTTACCATGTGTATATTGGGTCAGCTCTGTAAGAGGCATAAATCACTCTGTTGATGGTTCAGGAGGACAGGTATGTTCTTAACCCACGTTAACAACCCTGCGGTTCGCAGTGCAAGGTGAAATGTTAGTGAAGACCCAGCAGGTTGTCCAGAAGGGAACAAGGCTGCAAGTAGGGTTTGGCGGAAAGAG